ATCAAAAATAATGAAATACTTACTTACAAATAAATTTAACCAAGGAGGTGAAAGATCTGTACACTGAAAACTATAAGACATTGAAGAAAGAAATGGAAGAAGACACAAATAAATGGAAAGATTTTCTGTGTTCATTAATTGGAAGAACTAATATTGTTAAAATTTCTGCATTACCCATAATGATCTACAGAGTCAATGCAGTCACTCAAAATTTCAATGGCATTTTTTTAGAAAATGTAGAAAAAATGGCCGGGTGTAGTGGCTTATGCCTGTAAGCCCAGCACTTTGGAGGCTGAGGTGAGTGGATCACTTGAGGTCAGGAGTTTGAGACCAACCTGGCCAACATAGTGAAACCCCATCTCTACTAAGAAATACGAAAAAAAAAAAAAAAAAATAGCTGGACATGGTGGTGTGCACCTGTAATCTCAGCTACTTAGCAGGCTGAGACAGGAGAATCACTTGAACCCAGGAGGCAGAGGTTGCAGTGAGGTGAGATTGTACCATTGCACTCCAACTTGAGTGAAAAGAGGGAAATTCCACTTCAAAAAAAAAAAAAAAAGAAAGAAAGAAAGAAAAAAGAAAATGTGGAAAAAACAGTTCTAAAAATAGAAAAAGAATTTTAATAATTAAAATTCAAATGAAATCACAAATGACCCAAAATATCCAATGCAATCTTAAGAAAGAAGGACAAAGCCAGAAGCATAATGGGTCATGATTTCAAACTATATACAAAGCCATGGTAATCAAAACAGTGTAGTAGTGCTATAAAAACAGACATATAGACCAAAGAAATGGAATAACCCGAAGTAAACCCACAAATATATGGCCAACTAATCTTTGACTAGGCCATGAAAACTACACAATGGGGAACAAATAGTCTTTTCAATAAACTGTATTGGGGAAACTAGATATCCACATGGAAAAGAATGATTTTGGATGTTTATCTTATTCCATATACAAAAATAACTGAAAATGGGTTCAAGACTGAAATGTATGATCTGAAACCATAAAGCTTCTAAAATAAATATAAAGAAAAAGCTCCTTGCCATAGGTCTTGGTGATGATTTTTGGGGTATGACACCCAAAGCACAGGCAACAAAAGCAAAAACAAAGAAGTGTAACTGCATCTAACTAAAAACTTCTGCAGCAAAAGATACAATCAACAAAATAAATAAGCAAGTTGTGGTATGCAATAATATATTGGCAAACTATATCTATGATCAGGAGTTAATATTCAAAATATATACAGAATTCATACAACTCAATAGCAAGAAAACACAAAATAAGCCTATTTTAAAATGGACAAAGAACCTAAACATACCTAAAAAATAGACATGTTTCCAAAAAGAGACATACAAACGGCCAACAGGTATATTAAAAAGTGTTCAACATCATTAATCACCAGGGAAATACAAATCAAAACCACAGTGAGATATCACCTCATACCTATTAGGATGGCTACTACATAAAAGATAAAAGATAACACATGTTGGAGAGGAAACCAAGAAAAAGAAATCCTTCTATACTTTTGGTGGGAATGTAAATAGGCATAGCCACTATGGAAAACACCATAGAGCATAGAGATTTTTCAAAAAATAAAAATAGTACTACAATATGACCCAGCAATCCCATTTCTAGCTATATATTTTAAAAGGTGATATCAGTATCTCAAGGAGATATCTGCATCCACATGTTCATAGCAGCATCATTCACAACAGTCAAGATAAATAAATGGCCTAAGTATCCATCAGTGAATGAATGGATAAAGTAAATATGGTATACACACATACACAGACACACAGACACACACACACACAGAGAGAGAGAGAGAGAGAGAGAGGGAGAGGGAGAGGGAGAGAGGGAGATAGAGGAATATTATTCAGCCATAAAAGAGAAGGAAATCCTGCTATTTGCAATGACATGGATGAGCCTGGAGGGCATTGTGCTAGGTGAAATAAGCCTCACACAGAAAAACGAATACAGTATGATCTAACTTACATGTGGAACCTAAAAAGTTGAACTCATAGAAGCAGAGAGTAGAATGGTGGAATGAATGGCGGTTGCCAGGAATTGGGGTAAATGAGAGGTTTGGGTCAAAGGGTACACACTTTCAGTTATAAGATGAATAAGTTCTAGGGAACTAGTGTACAGAATAGTGACTATAGTTAACAATATTGTATTGTTTACTGGAAATTTTCCAAACATAGATCTTAAATGTCCTCCAGGCATAAACAAACACGCACACACAGAGTGATAAGTATGTGAGGTGATACACATATTAATTAATTTGGTTGTGGTAATCATTTCACAATCGATATGTATATTAAATCATCATGCATATCTAGAATATATACAATTTTTACTTGACAATTATACCTCTATAAATCTAGAAAAAATAGAAATCTTAACTCCAGGACTAGATATGTTCTTGCCTGATCCTAGAAGTGATCACCTGGAGCTCACCCTCTCGTGTCTGGCCTCCCTAAGGACCGTTTTCCTATACCATTCATGTTCCATATCAATTTCTCCTTTTTTTTAGGGTGTACAGTGAAATTTAGAACTTAATCACTTGCTCTGTTACGCTTCTCTGTAATATATGTAAGTCTTGTCTGGTGTATAAACCCTTCAGGCAGGAATTCTATCCCATATCTGGTATTCTGTTTAGTAACAGTTTAAGATCTGAGTATCAGTAAGTTTTCAGTAAACACTTGTTGAGTGATGGATTCTGAGGCTCTAAGGCATCACTAGTGGAAGAAACTACTGGAGATATTTGCATAAGGCCTGGTCACTCTTACTGAAGATTTCTCATTAGCAAAAGTGCAGTCAATGACCCAGAGATCCACTTGTGAGCATATTGCTGCAGGCCTCACAACAGAAGAGGCATAACCCTTGCAATGTGTGATGAAGAATGACTAAGTCTTGTTCTCTTGACTGTTGCCGTGAAGACTACATTTACAGTAAAAATAGGGGGATATTTTAAGGACTATTTTGTATAACAAAAAGTTATGAGAGTTTTTTTTTCCTTTTATAATTCAAGGTTAGGATAATGACAAAGAATATTTATGGACTTTGATACTTACACAGAAAAGAAGGTTTGGTGCATTTAAAGCAGTTGGAGAAAAATATAATGAACAATTATTACATTTAAAACAAAAGAATATAGATAAATTAAAAGAATAAGAACAGATTTTACAATAACAGTCCCAGTGGAAAGTAAGAGTTTAAAAGTAGCAATTCTGTAACGTAATTTTTATTTGTTTAAATTGTTTAAAAACTGAAATCACGAAGAAATGCTTAAAAGCCAAATAAAATTAGTCAGAGAAAAGAATAAAAGTGGATCTCAGAAAAAATAATTTTTAAGAAGATTATTTGAAAGACTATGACTAGATATGTTCTTGCCTGATCCCACAAGCTGTGACCCAGAGTTCACCCTTTGATATGTACTATTATCCTGTACCATTCATGTCCTGTAACGATTTCTCCTTTTCTCAGTTCATTTCTCAGACATTTATGTTTTTTAACTTGAGAACTATTTTATTGGCAACATTTGCCTTGTTGTGACTTCTGAAGAAAAAAGTGGTAGTTGTAAAATACAATATAACCTTAATTTCATTCATTCATTCATTCATTCATTCAGATATTCAACATTAGGATATTTACTAGGCATTATGCAAAAGAATTTTCAACAACGTGGAAGTGAAAGAAGACCATTTACTGCCTGAAAAGTGCTAGAAATGGCCACTGCAAAGTGTGATGAGAACTACAATAAAGACTCAAAGTCCTTTGGGAATTCATTTATTTACTTATTTTTAAAACAATTTCACAGAACTTCTATTTACCTGTATCCTTTATGATAAATTTCTTTTGTTTGAAGAATTTATGAATATCTTATAAGCTACAGAGACAGGTTAGTTATATTTAAGACAAAAGTGGTCCAATTGCTAAAATCTGGCTTACTTATAAGTAATTGCCATTCTTTGTTCCTTTGGGAGGAAGGTGTTTCTTGCCTCCCCCCCCCCCCGTTTTTTTGCAGAGATCCAGAAAAGGCCTCATAGAGATACTGGCATTTGAACTGTTACTTAAGAATAGGTAGCACTTAAACGGACAGGACTAGCAGAGAGCATCCTAGAATCACAGGAACAGAAAAGCGAACGCGTTAGAAAGTGTGTGTGTGCATGTAGAGAAACCGTGGGAGTTTTAAAAGGAAGTTGAGATGCACTCTGTGATGTGAAAGTCAGTGAAGATAACAGGGAAATATTGAAAGATTTTCATAAGGAATTTATGTAATTAGACTTCTATTTCAGGAAGATTAATATGATAGTGATGTAGAATACTCGGAGAGAGAAGAGACTGTGAGTAGAGAAATCAGTAAAGGGATCATATCAGTCAGGACAGGCTAGGATGCTGTATAACTGCAGACTCCGAAGTCTCTGTGGATTAAACTAACAAAGATAGCACGGACATGTATTTCTTGCTGCTGCTCCGTGTACATTTTGGGCCCATGTGTGAAGGGTGGGGGGAACTGAGCTACACTACACTCAGGCATCCATCTGGAAGATCATCTGTCTCTATAGCATGGTGAATTATGCACTGGCTTGTAAAACTCGTACTCAGTCTAAGAGTAACGCATGTCAGTTCTGTTCACATTTCATTGACTGTGTCTATGCCTAATTTCAGGGGTGAGCAAATGTAATCCTACTACATGCCCAAAAGGAGAATAAATGGAATATCTGTGAATATTTCAATCCCCTCAAGAGGCGGTTGCAATAGTCAGTGAGGGTGTAAGCAGTAGGAATGAAAAGAAATAGGAAAATAAAAGAAATAGTTTAGAAATAGAGGCCGCGGCAACCAGCACACCCGGGCACTTCCCTTGCGGCAGTCGCGCCCAGCAAATGCAGTGCCGCCGTGCACGCCAGAGTGGCTGTAGCTGCCGGGCGCGGCGCCGCCCTGTGCTGGATGTGGGTTGCTGACTGCGCCCCCGCCGCCGGCCGGCCCTGCAGGGCCGCGGCGCCCTGTGCTCTGCAACGCTGCGGCGGGCAGCTTGGGATAACGCAGCCGCGCGCAGAGATCGCCTCCGCAGGATGAGGGAGTGGTGGGTCCAGGTGGGTCCGGGTGGGGCTGTGGGCAGTGCTTCTGCTTGCTGCGCATCCGCACATCCGGCGCCCTCAGCTCTCACACGATCTTCACTCCTGGAAGTCTTCAGGCAAGTTTTTCACTTACGAGGAACTGCGTATCTTCTACCAAGACTCTGTGGGTGTGGATGGAAGTCAGGAGATAGTTGTGGTTTTACACGTTTTCCAACATCCAGCTACGATTGGTACAATATTTGGGAAGGTCTGCCCTTGAGGTTTCATCGAGTGATTGCCCTTGATTTCTTAGGCGTTGGCTTCAGTGACAAACCGAGACCACATCACTAGTCCATATTTGAGCAGGTCAGCATCGTGGAAGCGCTTTTGCGGCATCTGGGGCTCCAGAACCTCAGGATCAAGTCTCATGACTGTGGAGATAATTGTTGCTCAGGACCTTCTCTTCAGGTACAAGCAGAATCGATCTGGTCGGCTTACCATAAAGAGTCTCTGTCTGTCAAATGGAGGTATCTTCCCTGAGACTCACCGTCCTCTCCTTCTCCAAATGCTACCCAAAGATGGAGGTGTGCTATCACCCATCCTCACACAACTGATGAACTTCTTTGTATTCTCTCGAGGTCTCACCACAGTCTTTGGGCTGTATACTTGGCCCTCTGAGAGTGAGCTGTGGGACATGTGGGCAGAGATCCCCAACAATGACGGGAACTTAGCCATTGATGGTCTCTTACAGTACATCAATCAGAGGAAGAAGTTCAGAAGGCGCTGGGTGGGAGCTCTTGCCTCTGTAACTATCCCTATTCATTTTATCTATGGGCCATTGGATCCTGTAAATCTCTATCCAGAGTTTTTGGAGCTGTACGGGAAAACGCTGCTGTGATCCACAGTGTCGATTCTGGATGACCACCACATAAGCCACTATCCACAGCTAGATGATGCCATTGGCTCCTTGAATGCATATATGGGCTTCATCACCTCCTTCTGAGCTGGAATGAGTAGCTTCCCTGTATTACCTCCTCTACTCCCTTATCTGTTGTGTATTCCACCTAGGAAGAATGCCCAGAAGAGGTCCTGGCCATCAAACACTATTCTCTCACAAAGTTCACTTTACTCAAACTGGTGAACAGTGTATAGCAAGAAGTCAGCAGGAGCTCTGACTAGGGTTGACATAATCCACCTCCTATTACTTTGACAACTGATCGAATGTATGGACTTGGCTTTGTTTTTGTGTGATTAGGAAATTCTGATGAGCATTACTATTCACTGATTCAGAAAGACGTTCTTTTGTATGGAAGACTTTTTTTTAACACTTTGGACTTCTCTGAAATACTTAGAAGTGCTCATTTCTGGCCCAGCCCCAATAGGAATTCTACAGTAAGAATAAGGAGAAGGGGACCTCCTTCCCTCTCCTTGAATGGCTTTATGGGCACATGCTTTTGAAAAGTTCTTTAAGCAACACAGAGCTGAGTCCTCTTTGTCATACCTTTGGATTTAGTTTCATGAGCTGTTTTTAGTTATAAACATTTTGTTAAAATAGATATTAGTTTAAATAATATAGTATTCTAAGTATGATTTAAGATTATGATTTACCTACACATTATATATATATTATAAAGATACTAAACCAGCATACCCTTACTCTGCCAGAGTAGTGAACCTAATTAAACATGTTTGATTTCTGAATAAATTAAACTAAATCCAAACTATTTCCTAAAATCACAGAACATTAAGGGCCAATAGCATCCGTGTCAGAGATTTACTGTTACTAGATGGGGAGACCAATTCGAACAGCAAATAACAGTCTGAGACTCCTCATACCTCTGTGCTTAGAAACATATCTCTCTTGAGCTACTGTAGAGGGGAAGGGATTCTTGTGCGTCCAAGTCACTGTGCTGAATGTACATTGATTCCTTTATGACAACTGCTTAACTCTCCATTGCCTGTCCCAGAGAGGCTTTCCAATGTAGCTCAGTATTTCCTGTACTTTATAGACAGGAAAGTTCCAGAAACTTGAAGAACAAATTCTGAAAGACCTATGAGCAAATGATGCTGAATACTTTTTTTTAAGCCACATTTCATTGTCTTAGTCAAAGCATGATTATTAAGTGATTATTTAAAATTCTTTTTTTTTAAATTAGCAACTTCAAGTACAACAATTTTGAAACGGGAATAAGTGTTTATTTCCTATTAATAAAAATTGTGACAAAAAAGAAATAGAATCAAGACCTTGCTCATTGATATAATGGGAAGAAAGATAGGGATCTAGTAGGAATCTAATGGTTTATACCTGCAAGACTGATGGCACCCTTAGCAGAAATTTGGAAACAGGAGGAGAATAACTTGATGGAGGTGGGTGAGGACTGTGGAAAGAATGGGACGCTTCAGAGGGAGAATGTTTAGCTGTCAAGTTTAAGCCATGTTAAGTTGTAAGTTCTGGAAGGAATGTGCAAGTAAGGATATCCAAAGGAGATAGAAAGTTAGAGATGGAGTTCACTCACACAAGTGGTCAAATATGGAAATAAGGATTTCGAAGTCACTAACATAGACGTAATATTTAAATCTATAGGCCTAGATGAGACTGCAAATTTCATACCATTAGATTGACCTTCCCGTATTCTTGAGTCAATAGAAAGAATGTTGATCTAATTTTACTGGCTTCACGTTTCTGGGAAAAAAAATAAACTACTACTAATAAACATAATTCAGGTAAGAATTTGAAAAGTTCTTCAGGAAGAAGGAACACTACTCTTTAAGGATGAAATTGGTGATCGTTGTGAATTTTGAATCTTTCAGGAGTCTTATGTTAACATATCCTACAGTTTTTCTATCTCATTCCTGGAAGTTCACCATGTAAAAATATAAGTGAAAACTTGACTTCCAGTGGAACAATTAAGAAGCACATACTTAAAGATGATCTTCTGAAAGGCATTATAAGAGGTTTGCAATTTTTAAAGAGAGGTTTCTATTCTCTTTGCCTTAACATGCACAGACGTGAATTTTTAGTAAAGAATTAATGAATGAAATCCTTTATGAAGGTTTTCAAGTACAGTTTTTGAACAAAGTTTCCAGCTTGCAGATATATTGTTTTTTTACTATCTATACAGGTAAATTTGAACTAATTCATTATACCAGTGGTTCCCAGCCTTTTTGGCACCAGAGTCCAGTTTTGTGGAAGACAGATTTTTCCAGAGACCAGGGTTGGGGGTAGTTTTGGGATGATTCAAGTGCATTACATTTATTGTGCACTTCGTGTCTATTATCATTATATTGCAATATATAATGAAATAATTATACAACTCACCATAACATGGAATCAGGGTGAGCCCTGAGCTTGTTTTCCTGCACCTAGATGGTCCCATCTAGGGATAATGAGAAACTGTGACAGATCATCAGACATTAGATCCTTATAAGAAGCATGCAACCTAGATCCCTTACTGATGCAGTTCACAATAGGGTTTGCACTCCTATGAGAATCTAATGCCTCTGCTGATCTGACAGGAGGCGGAGCTCAGGTGGTAATGCCAGTGATGGGGAGTGGCTGTAAACACAGATGAAGCTTCACTCACTCACCCACCACTCACTTCCTACTGTGCAGCCCAGTTCCTAACAGGCCACTGACTGGTGGAATGCGCGGGTCCCCAATCCCCAGTACCAGTCTGTGGCCCAGGGGTTGGGGACTCTTGAATTACACAATAAACATACATCCAATTATTCTAATGAAATCAAATATATAAGGTGAAATATTATGATGAGTAGTTTTCAAATTGCTATTATTATTTATTAGTGAACCTTGAAGTTCATTTAATAGGTCAAAACCAGTATTTTAACAAGAATATAAAATAGAAATATTGGAGTCCTCTGAATGTAAAATGTCTAAGTATTTCTTTAAGACATCTCGTGTCATTTTTATTATGTGTGAATGTGTTAGAAAGAGAGATATTATCCAATTTAAGTGCATTTCTTATCAAGAAAAGAGGTTGAAGGCCACTGTTCTAGAGGAATAAGAAGAGAGGAGGGAGAGTGGTGTGTTGACCAGGAAATGCTTTAGCCATTTTATCAGTTAAAGACAAATATCAGCTATGGATACCATTTCACGCTTCATTTCAGTAGCCATCTATCATTCTCAGTTCTTTAGAATCCACCAGATCTTTATGTCCTGCAGCTCTCAGCTTCGCTATTTTGTGCTTGCTCGATGGTTTATACCCAAAACCATACCTTAGAGGATGAACGTATTCAAACTGGATGTCAACCTTAATAAGATTCAGTATATACTTTAATAAGATTCTTGAATTTATCTCAGAAGGAGGATTACCAATATGAAAAAGGAGCATAAATATTCAAAATATGGTCTATAGTGTCTTCCATTAACCAAGACATAATATTAGTAGTAAATAATAGTTCGCTATGGAATATTTAACTGTTATTCTGGATTTTTATTTTTTTATTTTTTTATTTTTTTATTTTTTTTTTTTGAGACAGAGTCTGGCTTTGTCTCCCAGGCTGGAGTGCAGTGGCGCAATCTCGGCTCACTGCAAGCTCCACCTCCCGGGTTCACGCCATTCTCCTGCCTCAGCCTCCCGGGTAGCTGGGACTACAGGCGCCCACCACCTCGCCCGGCTAATTTTTTTTTGTATTTTTAGTAGAGACGGGGTTTCACCGTGTTCGCCAGGATGGTCTCGATCTCCTGACCTCGTGATCCGCCTGTCTCGGCCTCCCAAAGTGCTGGGATTACAGGCATGAGCCACCGCACCCGGCTATTCTGGATTTTTATATGTTGACAAAAGAAACAGAAGATTTGAGCTGTCACCAGTTTGAGAGCCTACTAAAGCATTAGAGTTTTAAAAATTTTCTTTCCAACTCTTCATCTTGGGTTCACTTTAAATATTGAGAACAAATCACATTATTATTAAAGAATTATACATATCTGAGTTATCTCTGGGGATTATAAATTTGGGATATGATACGTTCTGATCCTTGAAGCGGTAAAATGACCATATATAAAGAACAGAGGCCTAAATGAGAGGAGTTGGTATTCATACTCTAACCTCTGTTGCCACCATGACCAAGGAGCTTTTTAAAATAAGTTAAGAACAGACTCAAAACTAGGAAAACTGAGAGTTGTGGAAAGATACAATTTCACCTTTGAAGGCCAACACTCCACCACCCCACATTAATGTAGGTGACAAAAAGGAAAAAGAAAAAAATAAGGCACACAATTTTCAAATAGAACAGAAAATTTTAGGCAAAGAAATACTGAAATGTTAGAAGTACTATGTAGAAATCCTAGATCTGGTGAAATATTCTGTCAGAATGGCTCATTGGTGAAGGACCAATGGAGGGTCCCAGTCCAATGGAGATAGAACCACAAACAATGTGGAAGAGAATAAAATGGCCTATTCAGTTTAGGCCCAGGAAGTTTCCCTGCTCCATTTCTCATAGCAAGACTGAGATACTGTTGAACATGCAGAACAAGATATGCATTAAGATGACATTTATGTGATAAACAAAATGAATCAAAGAATAAACCATATAATGCTATGTGAGAATTTGTGTCTATGTAAACGCATAACTAAAGAATAAAGGCATTGGTTTTCTCTGGATAGAGCACTGGGAGTGAGGATGTTGGTTTTGAATGATTTTAAAGTATGGTAAAATACACATAACATAAAATTCATCGTTGTAACCATTTGTAAGTGTACAGTTCAGTAGTATTAGTACCTTCACATTGTTGTGCAACCATCAACACCATTCACATCCAGAATGCTTTTCATCTTGCAAAACTGAAATTTGGTACTCATTAAATTTAATAACTCCCCACTCCTCTCTCCCTGCAGCCCCTGGTAATCACCATTATACTTTCTGTCTCTGTGAATCTGGCGACTCTAGGTAAGTAGGATCATAACAGTATTTGTCTTTTTGTAACTGGTATATTTCACTTAGCAGAACGTCCTCAATGTCCGTTTATATGGTAGCATGTGTCAGAAT